GCAATACCAGGAGTTAAAACGCCGGCGCTGGAATAATAAAATGCAATTGTTAATATTTATTGATCCACAGCGAAACGTAATACATAATCAAAGTAGAAATAAAACACACTTTTCTGGTATTTTATCAGATTCTTTGAGAATCATCATCGCGGCAAGCAATAACATAGTACATGTGGCACCATATGCCGGGTCAACGCCACTAATTTGAGTGGTCAACAACTTATTTGGTGGATCCTTATGTTTATCAGTAGGTTCGGCCAATTTTTCGGTCCAACCTTTTGCTATAAATGTAAATTTAAAGTGGGTATTTTCCTGTACTTTTCTTGATGGACCTTCGTGACTTACATATCCACAAGTGAAAAATGTAGGATACTAAATAAAGTACGAAACATGTTAATATTATAACTTGTTTACACATACTCATATATTACAAGGAATACAAAAACTAGCATACTATACCTTCAACAATATACTACGGCCAAATTCAAATTGAGAAAGTAAAGCAAAGATGATAGCAAATATAACAGTTACCAACGCAGTGAACAAAGATCTGTTATTGAAACATTAATACTGGTTAATACAAAAATTATATTTGAAATTAAATAGAAATAAAATAGTTACTTGTGTGTAACATATGCCTGAATTTTTACTGGTCTTTGATTATATTTTTCGTAGAGATATCTTTGAGTGCGGTGTACCAAAGGCCGATCAGATGATGGAAATATTGTAGCCCAGCCTACTTCGGACTTATGGATCAAGTATCTGAAATGAATATTATAAATGTTAAGAAATAAAGGATATATTATTGTATCTTCCACATATTTTATATGCATGAAGATCTACAGTCTACTACTAATACACATTATGTCTTCTAACCTTTTCTCCAATTGCGGCTGAAATGAGGGTAATTTTTCAGGATATAACTTTTTGCGCAACCCGCGTAACTCGTTATAATTGGCAACACCATAAACAGCAGATTCATAAGTACCGTAATGTATGACAGCAGAATCAACCTTCGTGGCTGTCCATGTACTCATATATACTTCAACAGTATTGACTTCGCCTCCAAATTTTTCTTGAGTAAAAATTACACCAAGATCGCACGGAATACAGTCAAACCCACAAGCACTTACAATGTAAATACCAGCTTCTCTGACTTCTTTATCATATTTCAACTGTATACCTTCTATGAACTGTAGTACAAACAAAAAAGTTAAAAATATGAAAATCACCAAGTGCTGTTAACAATTTTTTAATGGTACCAGTTAGCAATATTTAATAGACAAAGTTATTATCAGACCTGAGGTTCAGCACTAACATCAATTTGATGAGTATGAGTAGCAATGCATGCTTTAATAACTGGTTCCCCATAAAATCTATATGGGCCGCAACAATTAACTAAAATCTTGGCTTGTTCTGTCATTTTCTTCAATGATTCTTCATCTTTCAAATCAGCAACTATTATAGGTACATTCTCTGAAATAGTTAAATGTATTTATTGAATTATTGTAACATAGAATTATTTCATTCATTAAAAAATATTGTATCATTATCTCATAGAAAAAAGTTGTTGTTTACGGAATAACTTTTACCAATATCAGGAGCAAATTCTTTAAGAACCCCTTCTAAAGCTTGTTTACGTCGTCCAGAAATTCCAAACTTAATTTGTTTTTCCTTGGCTAATTGTGCAGCTATTTGTACAGCATGTTTCCCAGTGAATCCAGTAGCACCAAATATTATAATATCTAGTCTTTCGTTTGCCATGATAGCAGTATTTATATAGTGTCTA